ATTGACCAGCCAACAATTTCCCTCAACGCATTTTTAAAAGTTTGGTGAAATTCTCTACAGAAAACTTTTACTTTACAAATTTAAGGAGTGGAAAACCTATAAGGGGGTCATATGATATGAAAGATAACGCTATCAGTTACAAGGACAATTTCTTTCATGGTCAGACGGAAAAGATACAGATATCTTATAACTTGATTTTTCCCCAAAATTCCACTAATTTATAAAATTCTTTTGCTTGCAGAAGTTAAAAACCAAAAAAACCAAAATGTTGCTTTACTTTAAACTAAGCGTGCTCCCATAATGAGCCCAGCATGTGCCCAGAATAGGCATCGCATTAGTTGTACTTGGCTTGCCCAACGTCTATATAGATTGGGTGCATTAGTGGAGCTTTTTTGGCTCTCTTATCTAATAGCTGATTGAATATTAGATAAAAGCGCCATAAGCCCTGCTGAAGCACCCAATCTTTACAGATGCTGCAGAGCCAGGTTCAAGTAACATGCTGCTTCTTCCAGTAAAGCACTTTTTTTTAATGTCTGCAAGCAGCCTTTGAAATTGGCAGATTTTTAACAGTGTAGCCATGCTCTTGGATTTACTTGGTCTTTCCAGGGAAGACAATATGCTGCTTACTTGTCAAGTTAATTGCAAATACACTACTTTTAGGTAGATACATACACAAACACCTCCATTTAACTGTTATTTCATTTTTAACACCTCCATCTCTTTTTGCTTTTTTAAAACTTACTAGTACATCAGACTGTGGCTGCAGCATAATACTTAGTATCAATGTAAAGAAAATTTAGATTGAATTAATTCAAAGTCCCAGACCCCAGGAATTAGATGATTTCCTATCTGGCTGTACTTAGAGAGCACAGTATTTAAATCCAAACTTACTCTTTTATAGAATTTTGCTTTATTAATAAAGAACACAATAATATAAGTTCAGCTCAAAGCCTTGTCCGTCAGTTTGGCTATTCCAAGGTTTCTTCATTTGAACTGCCCGCCCTTCTAGGAGCCCACTGCTTCTAAATATTTTTCCTTCTCTATTCTTTTACGTCACTTTCCTTAGTCTTTATTTTTCTCATATGAAGAGTAACAGCAACTATAATCTAAGATTGAGTTTCATTTGCTTAAGTGAATAAGCAAACTTACTTAACCCTCCCCCAAAAGTTCTTCTGACTATAAGGTATTTGCAAAAACTGTGGCCACCCACAAAACTACTAAAAGAAGTGTTGATAAGTATTGAAAGAATGATTTCTGTCATGGAGAAAGTGATACTTTTTTATTGTGGATGCTCAGGTCTCATTTTTTCAATACTCTAGGCCCCTTTTAGTGAAGGTTATAACCAATTTCCACTACTACTAAGTGATGATATCAGTCTTTTAGGACCTAGGTCAGTTATAGTTAAGGATATGTCTGCAGTTGTAGCTAAAGATACATTTGCAGTGCACAGGCAGAATCTTAAGGAACATGCCAAGCATGTTCCAAACACTTGCTCTGACAATGTGTCATACCTCTGGAGAAAGCTCAGAGAGCATCTGCTGCTCCATTCCTCCAGGTCTCTGAGAGGAGTGGAACATTGAGAAAAGGCTGCCTGTGACTTTCCTAGTCCTGAAAGGTGTTGGGCAACTGAGAAATTCTCCCTGTGTGTCCTGTAGAATGGGGGCACTCCAGTCTGGGGAACACTTGGGGAGCAGTGGCAGCTCAACTCTTCCTAGGCCAAGGAGGAGTTGGCTTCTGGGAAATGCTCCCTCTGTGTCCCCCAGACTGGAAGAACACTGCGCCACTCCTCTCTAGATCTGGGAGGAGTCCAGCAGTGCCTGTTCACTACACCTTCCCCAGACTAGGATTACCCCCCAACTGGGGAAGGCATGGAGAGTATTTCCCCACACTGGACTCTTTCTGGCCTCTAGGAGGAGTCAAGCAGGAGAAGTATGAAGGCATTTGATCCTGTGGGAGAAAGTCTTCTGCAGAAGAGATCTTTGTTTCACCATGGGAGAAACTGCACAAACACCTCCACACTCAGTAGCAATGTGTAGGGGGTGCAAGGGGGTGCACATGCACCCCCTAAGAGTGCTGGTGCACCCCCTGACAGCAGCATTCCCAGGCAGAGGGGGCAGGCGAGAGCGCTGGTGCCCCCCCCCGACAGTACGGGTGCCCCCCCCAAGAACACTGGCTGGGGAGTGCGCCAGGAGAAGCGGACCCCCTGTAGCCAATCCTGCCACCCTGGAAGTGCCAGTGGCATGCCCAGAGGTGCCAGCTGTGCGCCACTGCCAGTTGCAGTTCAGCAGGATCAGTCGTGCCCCCCCCCCACAGCCTGTGGGATCGGCTGTGGGAGGACCTGCCCCCCAGTCGCTGACAGCTGGAGGGGCAAGTGCCCCCCCTCCCCACTCAGGAGGCACTAGTCACCCATGTCCACACTCCAATTTCTAACAAATTGAATTTCTCCTGCTAGAAATGTAATGCCAATCTATACTGTAAGTCATTAATATAAAACGTGTTTCAGGAACTGCAGGGAGAGTTGAGTCTTTCACATTATCCTAATGGAAGCCATTGGAACTACATCAAAGTACTTGACATATTTAAAGAAAACATATTGCTTTGATGTAGACACATTATTACCATTCAGAGAGGTTTGCATTGTACATGAAAAGAAAAATAGCTGAAGCAATTTGAGAGGTCACTGGATTTCAGAAATGCTCTGTGTTTCATATTAGAATTCAAATACTCTGCATCTCATCTTTTTGAGATTTTATCTTCCTCCATTTTTTACCAAAGATAGTCCACATTTTCCTAAATTAATCACAGTAACACTGATAAGATGAATGTGATAGTTGAGTAGGATGTGCAAATTTCTTACTCTAGCAATCTTTATAGGTTTCCTTTTAGATCAGCTGAAAAAACTACTACTTTTACTGTAAGGTTACCACTTGGAGGCCCAGCTATAAGGTTGTACTTTTTGAATAAATAGGTTCATAGACATTAGGGCTGGAAGGCACCTCATAAAATCATTAGATCAAGCCCCCTGCCCAAGGGGCAGGAAGTCAGCTAGGGTCAAAGGATCCCAACAAGATAAGTGTCCAAATGTTTTTTGAAAGTGTCCAGAGGAGGTGCTTGCACCACCTCAGGGGAGTCTGTTCCAGGCCTTGGGGGCTTGGACAGTAAAGCAGTTTTTCCTTATGTCTAGCCTAAAATGGTCTTGCAGGGGTTTGTGACCATTGGATCCTGTCATCCCCTGGGGTTCCACCAGATCTTGATGCATACCCTTTATGTACTTGTAGGCTGCTACCATGTCACCCCGGAGCCTGCGTTTCTCCAGGCTGAAGAGTCCTGTAGCTCGCAGCCTCTTTTCATAAGGCTTGTTCTCTTGCCCTCTGATCATGCGCATGGCTGTCCTATGGACTCTTTCAAGCTTCTCCATGTCCTACCTAAATTGTGGAGCCCAGAATAGGATGCAGTACTCCAGCTGCAGCCTCACCAAGGCCGAGTACAGTGGGAGGCTGACATCCTGGGTCTTGTTTGAGGTGCATCAGGAGATGCAAGCCAGAATTTTGTTTGCTTTGCCAGCTGCGGTATTGCATTGGTGGCTCATATTCATCTTGTGGTCAGTCATGACCCCCAAGTCTCTTTTGGTCATGGTGCTAGCGAGTGTAGCATTGCCAAGCCTATAAGTGCGGGTTTTTATTCCCAAGGTGGAACAACTTGCATTTCTCCATATTGAATGCCATCAGGTTTTCATACACTCACCTTGCAAGCCTATCGAGGTCGGCCTGGATCACCAGCCTATCCTCAAGTGTGGACACTCTTCCCCAAAGTTTGGTGTCATCAGCGAACTTGGCCAGTCTGCTTTTGACACCAGTGTCCAGATCATTAATGAAGACATTAAAGAGTACAGGTCTGAGAACGGAGCCTTGTGGGACACCATTAGTCACTGTGTGCCATGTTGATTTGGTTCTGTCAACTACCACGCTGTGGATCTGACCTCGGAGCCAGTTCCCCAGCCATTGGACTGTGGAGTAGTTGAGGCCGCAGTTGCCCAATTTTTCCATGAGTTCATCACAGGACACCAGGCCAAATGCTTTTTTAAAGTTCAAATATATAACATCAACCTCTTCCCTTTTGTCCAGGTGATATGTCACCTGGTCATAGGAAATGAGAAATGAAAGTTCATGTTTCATAGGATTTCAGAGAGGAGTCAGTAGATGAAATACTCTTCTGGGCAGGCAGTTCTTAGCTGGTAAGGAGTCTCTCACCTCTCTTGTGAGGTTCTGTGATGATGCAAATTATGAAAACATGAACTTTCATTTCTACCCAAGACAACTTTAACAATCTGTTCTCCAATGTCTGACGAAGGGTGCCTGTGCCTGAAAGCTTGCAATTAAAGAAACTTTTTGCAAAAATCTTGTTGGTCTAACAAAAGATATCACCTCTACCATGAGCCCTGATTGCTTTTTACTATGGCTGAGGGGTTTGTTTGGTTGTTTGTTTTGGAGAACTGATTGGATTATTTTTATTGTAACAAGGAATTAAATATCAAAATAAATCAAATTGTTGTTTGGAAGTGTTCTACAGCTGGCATTTCATTTGAATTTTATATTAACTCATTGATTTATATAATATCATTTGATTAATTCAATGGTAATGAGTATGACCCAAGTGATAAGAACAACTTGATCATAAGCCTAATGGTTACAGAAAAAATTACCTCTATTTTAATTTATATTTATTAAACACATTCTAATTATATTGTGAATTAATATAGTAATATACCATATTGTTGCTTCTGAAACCTTCATCTGGCCTTTATTTAACTGCTGCACATAATTCAAGTTGCTATAGCCAATCAAATGTCATTATGTAGAAAAGAAGATTTCAATTTTTGCAAGTGATATTGTAGTTTGAAATATTATTTAGATATATTTTAAGTAAGTTATGATTGATTCAATTACCATGACTTGGATTAATTGGAAATTATACTAACCACAATTTTATTTATTTTCAAGAAACTGAAGCACCAAAATGTGATGGGCAAATTTCCTACATAGAACAGATAAATTGCAAGGAGCCTAGCTGGATTGAAGTAATCTTTACAGTTTTATCCTATTGTACTTTGTCACCGAAATCACTTGGCATTGGTTTTGAGAGCTACATGGATAAAGAGCAACTGTGGGATTACTTATACAATATGTCAGGTATGAAAATGATCAGTTAAGTTAGTAATTTAAAGCCACTAATTTTCAAGCATGCACTGTGTATTAATTTTTTTTATTTTAATAAGTTGGTTTAAGTAATGAGGATTTACCTTAATTAGTTTTAGAATTGAAATGTTTCAGAAAATCATATAAAAGACATGTGTGTCTGTGTAACACTTTATCTAGGCATTGCAGAAAAGGTAGGACTCTTGAGGGATATACAGTTATTGTAGTTGTGGAAAAATGCGATAACATGGAGCCCAACTTTCAAAAGTCTTTGTGCCTTAACACAGAGATGTTATTCCAAGCCAAGGGAGGGAAATGATAGCAGACAATCTCCTATAGCTATTGCATGTTCAGTTTCTCTGATCCTGCTGTCTAGCAGGAACACTTTCATCAAATCTTCAACACTAGTTTCTGGAAAGAGAACAGATTTAAAAAACCCATAAAGAATAAAAAGGGACTGGTTTAAGAGGAATGAGGACTTTCTTTTGGTGGTCTGTCAGGTGCTGAGTCAGAAGAAGGAAGAAATGCTCCCCCTGATGGAGGGGGGAAAACAGGAAACAGAGGCTAAAAACAAAAGGTTGGACCAAGGTGTGTGGATGAAGGGCTTCTGGTGACCACAAGAAATGTGTGGAAGCCCAAAGAAAAAGAAAGTTTCGGGGATGAAGGAAGGAAGGAAGGAGAAAAAAAACGCCTAGAAGACTGCATATTGCAGTGGTCCCAGAGGAAGTAGTGAGGAAGTGGAGGTGCTTATTTGGTACCCAAGTAACTGAATTATAGGATGGTATGAGATGAAGATGCAAGGGAGAGTGATGCTTGTGGCTCTAGCATTTGAAAGTGAAGAGAGGGTTCGAGCCATGAACAGAAGACTTCCAGGAGGATCTTGCAATATAAGATGGATGAAGGCCAGCATGTGGACACGCAAAAGAAAAAAGGATGAAAGCTCAATGGTGTTCAACTCATCCAGCCCTGAGACTGAATGAGTGGTGCAGAGCCAGGCTGCAGGCTAGATCCAGGGTATGGAGCCAGTCCACAGGGAAAATCTAGAGCATGGAGACATATCACCTGGCTTCTGAGGCTGTAATTTGGTGGTGTCAGTGTTATCTGATATGGAGCTATGGCAGCCACCACTCCTTCCTCTGCAAAATTTCCAGCAGTATGGGCCACAGCTCTACATTTTGGATCCAGCCCACAGGGCTCCCTACAGGTCTGGAAATTTGGCAACAGGATCAGCAGCAGTTATGTTAATTGCCCTAGTTCCAGAAGCTGCTGTCATTATCACTGCCACCACTCACTGTACTGACAGATATCTTGACCTGTGGGGTCTTGGCCTGAGGAAATCCACATTTCCCATTTCGGAAAGAAATTCTCTGACCACCAGGGTACGCAAGTTTGGTTTGGGGCATACCCTATCCTTTGTGCTGAAGCTGGCTTAATGAGCATAAAGGAATACAAGAATCATAGGGGCATAGAAGAGTAAAAAAGCGGATGGAAAGATAGCAGTCTGTGGCTCAGTGCTCAAGGCACTCTTCTGAATCAGAAGAGACCTTGGTTTCAGTCCCTGCCACCAGGATCATTTCTGTTTCCTTACCATGACTCTCTAATATAAAATGCCTAAATAATGCCAGCATCAGGGACTGGAACATATGGTCCTACTCTGTGCCTTTCCAGAGTAGTACCATCATCAGTAATGCTCCCTCTTCTTTGCTCCCCTGGCCACAAGAATCTTTCGCTTGTGGTTGCTCAGCACGACATTGACAGGATGAGTGGAGGTAGAACACCAACCCTATTTTAGAGCCTGGTGGGTGCAGACAGAAGTGCAGCTCCCAGATGTAACTTAGAACTATTTCTGCAAAGTGTTCAGAGTTACAGTGCTACTCCAAACCAAACAGAAGTTCACTGTTGGTTCCAGGGGGAGGGGAATCTCCCACTGGGAGCCTGCAGCTGGTTTTCCCTAGCAATGGCCATGGCTGTCTGACAGTGTTTACTGTTTTCAGAATGGGAGGGGGGAAAGGCAACAGAGGGAACTGATTCTTTGGGCTCCCCAGCTGGTGCTGATGGGTGTGGTGGGTGAATTGGAGCCCCCCCAACCTTAGGGGGACTGCAGTACTCGGGGGGGCTGAAAACCCCCCAGATTGAACTTCCTCCTTTCCCTTTCCCCCGCTTCCACTCTGAAAACAGTGACAGGCTGGGAGTTTCACAAGCACAAGTTACAGAAGATGCTACATTTTGGAATGTTTTTATCTGGTACCTCATGCAATAAGGGGTCAGATTTTCACCTGATTTTTAAGCTGTTTGCAGCCATGCACTTGTGTGTGGTCACAGCTGTGAACTGCTTTCTGTGGCCAGATTAGGCAAAAATTGTTACTTCTGTCTGCACCAGGGCTAAGGTATTTTCCTGGCAAGTGGGAGATGTATCATTTTAACCCCTTCAGGCTGAGGAGGACTTATAATTCAGGTCCCCCCCTTCTTGGGCAACTGCTCTGGACACTACACTGTTATACAAAAGGTAGACACCTCGTTACCCCCAATCAGGTATCTACACTCTGGGTAGTCTAGATCCCGAGTCTAGTGTTCACCCATGGATCAGGCACCTAAGTTCTGGAGAGAGGTAGGAGTCCAAACACAGTGTTTTGCCTAGTGTTTCCTGTTGGCTAGGTTTAGCTACTTCCCTGTTCGGTGCTTAGGTGTTCTGCTTTACCTTTAAAAGCACAAAAGTCTCTCCATGGACTCTGTAAAGGACCTATATAGCACACCCTGGCTATTTTTATCACCATTCTCAAGCAAGACACTAGTTTTTAGGTGTTACAGTGCCAAAGTGGATGTGCCTAGAAGGCCAATCTTATCTGGCCCTAGAAAACCAACAGAGCCAACTGTCAGATTCTCTCTATTTTAACAGGCCAATCAAGAGCACCTGTACTTTGAAACTTACTGTTTCAGTTGTGCATGCCTTTAATTTCCTTCCACTTCCCTAGATAGGTTTCTATACTAGCAGGTTCTAAGTATGCAAGCTCAGCCTCCCTTCCAGTCAACATAGCTAACTTTTCTTGCTTTGCTGTCTAGTCCTCTCCTATGGCTTTATCCTTGAAACTGCCATATTTTTCCCTATAGTTTAATCTTTTGTTTTTCCATTCAGGTTTGAATGCAAATTAACCAGTTGTTTTTTTAGAGACAATTCCTCTGGGCCACAAATTGCAATCTAATTCATTTGTCAATTGGGCCCCTAGCCTTCAGTCTTCTTACCTTCCTTCACCTTATTGTACTTTCTTTAGCACCACTTCCACAAATTGCTGTTCTCCAACAACTTAGCCAGTTCAAGAAGGCAGTTGGCTGAGCAGGGATCTAGCAGACCTCCTAAGGCTAAAAAAAAAAGCCTACAAAGGATGGAGGATGGGATTAATCTCCAAGGAGGATTATTCTGCACTGGTCCGGTCCTGCAGGGAGCATACTAGGAAAGCCAAAGCTGCAACTGAACTCCAACTAGCTTTGAGCATCAAGGACAATAAAAAGTCCTTTTTCAGATATGTGGGGAGCCGGAGCAAAAGCAAGGGCAACATTGGACCCCTGCTGAACCAGATGGGGCAACTGACACCCAGGAAAAAGCCAACCTATTAAATGGGTACTTTGAGTCAGTCTTTCATCAGTCCCATGGGACTCCCATGCCCACTACGGGACAGGGAGGTCCAGGTGGGGGAGATCCCCTGCCCTCCATAAATGCTGACCTCATGAAGGAACATCTTGAGAAGATGGATACCTTCAAGTCAGCCGGCCCTGACAATCTACACCCCAGGGTACTCAAGGAGCTGGCAAGCGTCATGGCCCAGCCCCTGGCATGGATCTTTAAAAACTCCTGGCGCTCTGGTGTAGTGCCCGAAAACTGGAAGAAGGCCAATGTGGTGCCTATCTTCAAGAAAGGGAGGAAAGTGGATCCGGCTAACTATAGGCCCATTAGCCTGACTTCTATCCTGGGGAAGATCTTAGAAAAGTTTATTAAAGAGGCTATCCTTAATGGGCTGGCTGAGGCCAACATCCTAAGGGATAGCCAGCATGGATTTGTTGTGGGTAGGTCTT